GATGCATTTCATTGTGTTCCTAAATTCATAATATTAGATTTAATCTCTTAAGAAGATTAATCTTCAGGAGAAAAAAAAAACAAAAGCAGTTTCCATAGAGCTGAGGGTCATGTTGTAATGACCCAAATGTGCCTTTAGTGGAATATTTACAGATATGTTTTTGAATATTTRTAAATACATTTTTGCACTATTTGGACAAAACGTTATATGGGCGTTTACCATTTAAACAGGATGAGGATGATAGGTGTTATTTGTGATTTTGTAAATAACATCGAATGTAACTTCCATGACCTAAAATCTGAATAAAAAATAAGTAAATTTTTTTGCACATCTGACTATGATCAGCTTCCTGAGTGAATTCTGAGAGAGCCTGACTTTCTGTCAGCTTTCTTCTTTAAATTATTGTCAGTAAAGATTATATTTAGCATGATTTAATTTGAATAGTTTATTAATTAGTATTTATAAGTGGCCAAATTTTTACTAATTAAAGTCTTTAAGGAAGTGTGTCCATTCCTAATAAGCAGAACTCTTAGTAGCACATTTTAACCAGTCTTTGATCAGAATTTCCATTGACATTAGTAGGAGTTATCTAACAGAATGAAGCTTGAAAATAGAATGGAARCATTGAAAAGCTCTGAAGGATATTTTGATCTTAGTGTTTTATCATCATGTATAAAATTAGAGGACAAAAAAATTATGTAGTTGTCTTCCAATGAGACAGTAATTTCAAAAAATATTTTGGTGCTGCTGAAGTAAACAAGGTATATATCTCTATGCATATGTATGTATGTTTCTCCAGCTTATGTGCACATAAGTGAATTAGCTTTAGAATGGCTAGAAATTATAACTTTGAATTTWAAAACGGAAATTTTAGAGCTCATAATAAGTCATCATTACTGTCATGGTTTCTGTTTGGGGATCTTGGAGGAACATTGATGAAAGGTACCTTCTGAAAAATACAACCTTGTTTGTCTATCAGTTCTACATAAGTGAGATTTCTGAAAAATAGACCGTGTTTTTGAAAAATGTTACAAGATTCACATATGTGTAGAGGGAGTTGAGCTGAATGATATTTAATGCCTACTGAATAGGGTTTTCTCTCAGTATTGTGGCATGCACAGCCTAATAAAATAAATTTTCCATTTTAAATATTTTCATAATAAGGATAAAATTTGTATAATTTGTATAATTTAAAGTTATAATCTTTAATTTGAAAAGTAGGTATTTTTTTGCTGATTTTCATTCAGAATATGTTACGTTTATAATTATGTTTTGTTTCCATCATTTTCTCTTTTTCATGTTATATTTCTTTATACCTAATTATATTTTAAATTTGTGTTTCACTGTGTGTTAAAGTGTAACAAACAAGACTTATGAAGAAGTATATTGCCTTAATGGAAACTCACAAATGTTTCAGTTTCCTATAGTAAAGCAAAGAGGAATTTTTCAATAGAGTTGTCTTGTGTGGTTCAGGCTGTGCTCTTGTGCTAAAAGCCTACACACCATAACAATAGGTTCTTTGGAAATATTTTGATATGCAATTTTTAAATCAATACTCTCTATATTTAAATATACAACATAGAATACATAGATTCTTGTTTTCTTATCTATGGAATATATATTTGAAGACAAGTCCATTGTTCCTGTTAATTTCTGAGAAATGAAATAAAGGAATTTAAGCCTGAAGGAATTTAAGATGGTTGAGAAAATCTTTATTTCTTTCCCAAAAATTGCCCATTTTCTAAGTAGGTTTTTTTTTTTTTTTTTTGTAATTTTGGGCTCATAAGAAGTTTAGCATTTAACAAAAAGTCAGTTCTTATTTCTTCTCAGCTTATAGAGACCTCTTGCTTCCGAGATTTGCAGATCTCTACTGTTTTAATTCCATTTCTTATGGGTCTGGAAGTTCTGGGAACTCCACTACTGGAGAGTTGGAGAACTTGAATGGAGTTTGAAGCCTTGGCTCTGCCGCTGAGTCTTTCTAAGTATCTAGGGTAATTCTTTTAGAGTTCATATATAATCCCAGGATAACCTAGCAAATGAATTGTTTAGTTCTGCAGACTACCTTCAACAAAGAAGTCCAAGACTTCCAGTTCTAATCAACAACTATGACATTGCAAAAAAACAATAAATATATATATATACTTCAGTTCAGAAAAGACGTTCTGCTGTTTCAAAACAAGTTTTGGCCTTCTTATTAGTTATTAATAAGAAATCAAGCAAGCATCAGATTTTGTCCTAATTCAAACAGAAATAAAATTTGAGAATTCTTTACAAGGTGTTTTTTATTTTTATTTATTTATTTTTTTTTCGTTTGATCTGTCTTAGTTGAGCTGGAAGGATTTCAGAGATAAATGGCAAATAAATCTGGGACAAAGAAAATTCTCACCTGGAGAGTGAGTGAAACAATTGGGGCAATCTGCTTTCAAAATTAGATGAATAAGGAGACACAATAAAAATGTAAAAAGTAAGGTAGTATAAAACTTTCAGTTATGCCTCTTTTCAGGGTACATGAACTAGGAAAAGTCCAATGAAATTACAGTGTGACAACTGTAGAAGGAAACACTTTGTGTCATTTGCTGACTATCAGGATGTCACTAAAGTCAAGATTCTGGGCAAAGCTGAGCAAGATTGTGATCACTTYTGGAAATCCCTGTGTTTCTTGACAGACGGAAAACTTTAGGAAGCAATCCTTATCTTTAAATGTCAGGAACTTAGTTGGGAGTGAACTATTACCTCTGAGAGTGAAATAAAATGAATACTGTTTATTTTACCGATCATAATTGTTTATCTTTCTCCTATATTTTCAGCCAGAAGAAGTGTTTGAAGGGGCTGAAGGAGTGACTAATTACAGCCACCAGAGTTTTATGATGAGGCATAGTTTATAAATTTGAAGATAGATGTTACTTGTCAAAGAAGAGAAGACTAATGCAGTTATTAGGTGAATTATGCCAAAACAATAATGCACTTGTATTTATTCTAAATGAAAATGCCTACAGAAACAACAAATGTATTTTAAATTACACAATTATTTTATTATGTAGAATTAAGAACAAAGTAGTTGGAAGGTTTTAGCTAATAACTTGCTTATTAACAACTTCCTTAATATTAAAAAGTTAATGGAAAAAGACAAGGGACAGAAGAGTCATATAGTGTAACTGGAAATTTTAGAGAATGTTTCAGAGTCGATGCTTTAAAATATATTATTTTTCATAAACACCTATTGCCTTCTGAAGGTAATATTTTATGAGACAGCACTAAGAATAAAGCAAGCAATTTTAGGCAGTTACTGTTAAAGGCATGACTAAACATTATATCCTACTTTTTTAAAGGACAAGGAATCATTCTGTGACCTTTTTATAGAGCACTTGGGCAATGTAGCCCTCTGAAAGGTTGTCATCTTGGARAAGTCCAAATTAAAAGTACCATGTACAAACAGAATTTTCAAGATAATATTATTAATGACATATTAGATAACAGAATATTACAGGAAGATATTCTTACCTCTTCTTTGACATTGTGTGATGGTGCAGAAAGCTACAATGTCCTCGGAAAGCTTGAAAGGGACCATATGCAGGAATCAGCTGCAATGCCTTCTCCTGACACCTGTGTTGCTGACGGAGGTYGGCAAGCCTCGTTTGYTRGCTGGACTGACCTGGGGTTGTCCTCACTCCAGGGCCCTAGAGCACAGATACCACTATGGGGGATGCGGCAAAATGGCATTTATTGCGTAGTTCAGTTTGCCTRTATACTCCAGTTGAATGCAGAGACTCACCTACTGCCCAATTGGGCTACTTTTCGCCTTGTATGACATGGGGTTATCAGTAAACTGCATAAATTAATTATGCTCCTAGCTCCCGTGACATCGTGAGATCTTCCGAGCACCGTGCCCTAAGCTCTGTGCCCTATGCTACACTATATCATCTACTTTTGCTAAGCTCTCTACCTTATTGAGCCCTAAAAGCACAAAAACTCCTACACACCTGCAAACAGATCTGAGGATAAAGAGAGTTTTGTTGGAGGAGAAAAAACATAGCTTGATAAAGCAACATTTAGAATACCAACCATTTTGACAAGTGTTCAAATGACTTTTATGAAACAGGCTTTCTTCTTACTTGTTTATCCTTGTGTATCCAGTTCCAGACAGTTTGTTGTGTAAAATATGTGTGTGTGTGTGTGTGTGTGTGTGTGTGTATGCATATATATATATATATACTTTTGATAATTGTTTGTTTGTTTCATATCTGGTGTCAGAAATCCAATATGTGGTAGTTCATGTCACAGCAATTTGAAATCATAACGTATTTCATGAGCTATTTTGATATTCATTTTTGCCTTTTTTTAATTTTGAAATTATTATAGGATTTTATTTATTTTAATAGGATATTTACGTGTATTTAGTATGTGTGTATGCATGCACACATCAAGAATGGAGAGGAATAATTTAGTTAAAAGGAAAAGAAGAAAGGAAATAAGGTAATACATACACACACTCTTGTTCTTTGGGCTGTTCTCTTATTTCCTTATTTGTGTACATTAGAGAAATTGCTGTGTATCCAAATAGAGTTTCACCTGATYAGCTTCTTCCCTTTAGCACTATGTAGACAAGTATACTTGATAGGAGTCTTGATAGGAGTTTTGAAGAATTCATGGTGAGATTATGGAATCTCTTTTTGCCCATACTTGTGCAAATTCTGTGTTTTTATGTCCATAACTAAAAGGCTTCATCAACGGTAAGTTTTGGAAAGATGTGTAGTCGAATTATTGATGCTGTGTAAAACATTTGCCACAAGGGCAAACAGTTGGTGTGTGGGCATTCACTAGCAAACACTGATTCATGTCCTCAAGGATCAAACCTGCAGCAGAGCCCGGGCTCTCTGGAGTTTCCAGGTGGTTGAGAGTTCCACATTGGAGCAGGAGTTGCCCAGATTTATGGCATTTCTTATATCCCTTACTTTTAAACCAAACCATCCTTTGCTTAGAATTCAGCAACTTGTTGCGGAACSTTGTCACTTTTGTCTCATCATCTAAAAACTATCAAATCATCCATTGGATTCCTGATCAAAACTAGATTCATGCTTTTTACTGTCTTTCCCCAATGAATGAAATACTTTTGTTCATTCTTCCAAACTGTGCTTGATTCAAACCTGATATTCTTCTGTTTATTGCATTGCCTCAACTTATAGTTACAAATATATCAACTTCCTTTGTGTCCSCTTCCTTTCTAATCAATTCTTTGGTACTAATTGAGAAAAATATATGAGTATGTTTCTAGCTGAAATTTAAAGCAAATCAGTTGTTTTTTTTTTTTTTTTTTCAGATTATATTTACTTGTGTGTATGTAGATACACAGTTACAAGTTGAATAGACTAATACTGGCTTTTTCAGTGTCAAGAGTTGTGTAATATCCATGAAAATACAAGTATGAAAATACACTACCTACCTTAATTTATATTGCCAGAATTTGCATTGTCTGTATTCTTCAGCATAACATGTCATTAAATTATAAAAATATTSTAAGTAATGACTAACCTATCTTTTCCAGAATTGCAGAGTAGCTCTTGTGGCAATCCTGGAGTTCCACCAAAGGGAATCTTGTATGGTACAAGATTTGATGTTGGAGACAAAATCCGATACAGCTGTGTAACTGGATACATTTTGGATGGCCATCCTCAGCTTACTTGTATAGCTAACTCTGTGAATACAGCATCATGGGACTTCCCAGTTCCTATTTGTCGAGGTAAGAGAAATGCTACATTAAACTTTTAAAATATATTCATTATGTTTATTCATCTGAACAATTTATAATCTCTGTTTAAATTATTAATTTTTAAACTGTGATTATAGAAACAAAAGCCTTTGGGAATATTTTGATGTCTTCCTCATATATATGTATCTCAATATATGCATCTGCAAATTTTCTAGTCAATATCCAATTAAAATTCTATTTCACATTTATTCTTAAATATACATAATCAGATTTTCATAACCTAAAATCTAGTAATGAGTAAATTATGAATGAGTTCAGCATGATTGAATATGACTACAACTAAGAAAATACAAATGGAAACTGAGCTTTGCTTTACTCTGTCAGATCTGATATTTTAAAATTCTTCACAAGGTATTCCTTGTGCTTTAATAAATGGCACTGTAGGTCAAATCCTTTTCCCTTTCTCAAGTTAGAATTATAGAAGAAACAAGGAATCCTGTTTTATGGATGAAGTTTATTTTATGAGGTTTTCAGCATGAAACTTTTTTAAAAAATCTGATTAAAAATAGATGAATAAAGATAATTCAGATGTTCAGTTGTGTCAAAACCTGATTAACAGACATACCAGAATTACAGAATCACGGAATGGTTGAGGTTGGAAGGAACATCTAGAGATCATCTAGTCAATCTTGTCAAGAGATCATCCAGCCCCCTGCTCAAGCAGGAAAACCTCCAGCATGTGGCACAAGATCACTTCCAGGCAGGTTTTGAAGATCCCCAAAGAAGGGGATCCAAAACCTCTCTGGGCAACTTATTTCAGTGCTCTGTTACCCCAACACATGCCAGTTTCACAAAAAGTAATTATATATGGAAAATGGTTATCATTGGAAATACCTTCACACTGTTTCCTATTCTTTGCTTACTATTATTTACTATACTTATCTATGACTTTGAAGAAAACACAAAGTAATACTTTTACTACAAGTAAAACTTATTTTTGCTAATAAAATAAAAAGTATACCCTTCATGCTTCCTAAATGAAGATGACCATATATTAATATACTAATTTACACAAAACTTACCTTTACATAAATTACATGATTTACATACAACAGAAAGGTAGTGGCCTGGACCTTATTCAATTGTCCAAGCCCTTGCTCTTCCAGTTTTGAAGTGCAYGAGGTTAAATATGTTCTCTGATATGAGGAAGATGACAAACTTGAACTCTATGATTCCACTTCTCAGGCAGTTATGACAGTTACAGTTTTCCACACTCTTTCTTTTGACACAACTCTGTTTTCACTAATTYTTTCAATAGATTTTTTTTTCCCCCAAGGGAAAGTGAAAATACTTTGAAAACTCAGCATGACTTTCAGATGGAATTATAAGCTCCCAGAATAGTCCTGCGGTCAAACATAAATCTAAACATAGGCAGAAGATGATAGGAAGTAGAAAAGCATAGTTTCTTCCTATTTATGATTGAAGAAGTTGAAATTAAAGATTTATGATTAGAAAGGCATGATTAGAGATTGTAAGAATCGGGTCCAGTTCTAGGCCAAAACTGAGCTGATATAATTGAAAAGGGCTCAAAAATATATACAACAATATTTTGAAGACYGAAATTTTGTCACAAGACTGAAGAAACTTGATCTTTTCATTTGATGTGAAAGAAGATGAAAAGATGACTTAATTAAGTACAGAAGGAAAATATCTTTTGAGAGTATATAGTTCCTTAACGTACCCTAATAACAACAGAGAATCTAAAGATTAAAAGTAGAACAAATTAAAGCTAAAAAATAAGGTAAAAAATTTAATAATGATGATTACTAATTATTGAAACATTATCTATGAATGTGATAGATTCTTGATTAATTTTAAATCAAGTATAATTTTCTCAGTGCATCAAATTTTGCTAGGATGTATTTTGGTCTGTATTCCATGAAAAAAAAAAAACCTAATTAATTTCAATTGTTCCTTCTATGAATTTTATTTGATGTGAAAAACATCTAGTTTTATATTTAATGTAGAAATATTTGTGGTTCCATTCTAATAAGTATGTCCTAATTTTGCTTAATATAATTATCTCACAGATTTCTGTAGGAAGKTGCTAAAGGTGATTACCCACTAATGAGTTTCTTATCTCTTTTTCTCTGTTTGTTACGGAGACTGTCTTTGATTAAACATTCATCTTTAGGGAGCACTGCTGATAAATGTCTTATTGCTCCCCACCAATGGTCATKACATTTAAAAGAGGGGATCTTAAGATTGTAAGATGAACTGTGTTCTGTGAATTCTGTGTGCATTTATTTGTTTTACAGAATATACTGTCTCAACCTCAAAGAATTTGACAAGATTTAAGAAAGTATGCTCAGTTCAATATTAATTTTATATATTGGCTTTCTTTTTTATGCATAAGAAATAAATTGAATAAAATTTTGAATTTACAGCATGGTTAGGTGTCACTGGAGTTAACCTAATAAAATTCTTTAGATGATATGTATGCAAATATTTTCATCTGCCACTTCTCATTCAGAACAAGTAAATTTAAGAAGCTTTTTTTTTTGTTAAGATCTTTTTTTACATTACTTTGACTTTTAATAAAGTAAAAAGAGAAAGGGAGGTTCATATTTGTGTTTCAGCAATCTAGTTCTTAGGCACTGATGTTTCAACAAGGGGAATCACCATTGGAATCACCCAGTCACTCAGAAGAATCACCAGGGCTTCGTAGTGCCACAGGTGTCCACTCACAAAACCGGATTAGATGCTTATGGTTTGAATTCAGTTAATGACACTGATATTTGTACTTTTTAAAGCTATATTATTTTAGCAATATTTTCTTTATAGTTCAAAAAGCTTCTTCCTAAATTACTTTCTTTTCTTTTACTAGTCTTTATAGGTCTGTATTGGAAAACCAGTGCAGATGTTTAGCCATTGCTTTATATCATAATCTGTTTATCAGTAAAAATAGTTGGACTGCACTTTTTCACCTGTAATTCATTAAAGTACTTTTATCTTTACTAGAAGTGCAAAAGTACCTTAATTAAAAGAAAATCAAACTAGTTTTATTGTGTTATATCAATTACACTAATATAATTAATTTTAAAATAGAAACCCTAACTAGTTTTAAATTAGAGCCTTCTTCCTTGAAAAGAATATTTTGATAAGGATGTTTTTAAAAGTCAAACAACACAGCAGCTTTATAATCCCACTTTACATTCTTAGAATCATAGAATGAATCATAGAATGMCGAAGGTTGGAAGGGACCTCAGAGGTCATCGAGTCCAACCCCCCTGCTCACGCAGGGTCACCTAGAGCACGTGGCACAGGGCTGCATCCAAGTGGGTCTGGGCAGCCTGTTCCAGTGCTTTGTCACCCTCACTGTCAAGAAATGCTTCCTTAAGTTCCTGTGGAACTTCCGATGCTTCAGTTTGAAGCCATTTCCTCTAGTCCTATCACTGTCCACCACTGAAAAGAGGCCGCC